ATGCACCCAATAATTAATGAATAAAACAAGAGTTTATGCATGGCGAATTGCGGCAGCTACTATTAACTTGTTGATCACTCCTTTTAATTCATTTCGTGATCCGCCATGACAGAAATAATTTAAGGGGCCGTATGGTCATTTGATATGAAATTTTGAGATAGAAGTTGGAATTTTGTTTGAATATGCGATTTAGATTTTTTATGTCGTATGTTTTCTCATAAAAAATTCACAAATCGTAAAACTATTACAATTGTCCTAATTTTATACAATCTTATCAAATAAATAAAATTTTATAAAATTTCATAATACACTATCACAAAGATATTCTTAAAAAGTACATGATTTATTGATCAAACTTTAATTCAATAATAAAAAAAAGCAATATGTAAGTTGTGGTGTACTAGTCTTTAATAGTCTCCCCATATAGTAGTGACAATTTTTTCACGTTGAACTTGCATTATTGTTCATATGACTAAGAAGACGAACCAACATTTTTACTTTGAGTCATTTGTTGGTCAATTTGGTTGCTAAATAAATTTGATAAAAAATTACTGAATTTGATGAATATAAATGGTAAAGTAGAAATTGATTTGAAGTAATAATAAATTTTATGTTAGTGAGAATAATCAATATATGAGATGTAAATCGTTTAAAAAGTAATGATATGAATTATAAATTTTATTTACTTATGAAATAAATGGTTAGTAGATATAAATGTGGGTTGTTATTACAAAATATACACTTTTGGATCAATTTTTGTATTTGAAAAATCCCAAATCATGATTTGAAATTTTCAAATCATGATTTTTAGAGAATGCGGGATTTCATTACATGAGATGAAATCAGCTTGATATCACATGTCTAAACGGTGATTTCATCTCATAATTTCATATCGCATATCCAAACGCCTACTAAGAAAAAAAATAACTTTTTATTATATATATCTACGGTTGAATTTCTTCAATATACAACATAAGTTATAAAGTCTTAGATTAACAACTAGATCAAAATATACATACATTATGAAATTGTAAAAATAGATCGACACTCCTTATACAAAGTATTACGTGTCTCTCCTTCCAATTGTTGTTGTAGGGAAGTTGTGGCAGCTAGTTCATCAGCTTCTTTGGAAAAATTCAAAAATATTTTGAATTGTACAACCATAAATGTTTTTGAACACCATATAATAATGCATGAATAATCAAACCAAATAATCCACGTAATGCATTATGCATGTACTCGATCTCCTCTCTCTTCAAGCTGTATAATATATGTAAAAGGAATAATATTAATGTTGTAGTATATAATTTGTACGTGTTGAATATATTATGCAACCATATATCTCATTATTACTCTAATAGAGATATAATTATTATCTTGTTTATTTAATTATGTTCTTCAACACGCTTTATTATTTTCAATTTGACTTGTTTATTTTTTTTTATATTGTGACTCCCTTTATATGAATTAATGTTGACTCTTAGTGGCCATGAGACTCGAATATTAGACTTTTTTTTACTTGAATACCATATTAAAACATGTTATATCATCTTATCTAAAAGATTAAACTATTACAAACACACATTTATTTACACTTGATAATGTCTATGGACAAGAGCGGAAGTAAACTTTAATACAAAAAAAAAATTTGGTCCAAATTGCAAAAAAAAAAAAAAAAAAACTTAAAATTCCAAATTGCCATGTTCAAGCAAAACTTCAACTTCATCTCAAATGATTTCGTATCATTATTTTATCTCAAATGGCCAAAAGGACCATTAGTATATAAACACAAATAATTAAATTCTTCAATTAATAATGGATCAATAATGATTCTATTTTGATTATTTTTTCTCTTATTTGTGGTACCTAGCAGACGCCAGTTGTGATAGACAGAAAATTAAGATTGAGTCATTTCTATAAATATTGATGAGCCATTTGAAATAAATTAATTATATGATTTTAAGATCTATAGAGGAAAATAGCTGGATTAAATAGCAAGGTCATGTGTTTTATCATAATGAAGTTGGTAGATATAAATTATTTGAAATGATAGATTTTCTATAATGCAATAAATACACGAAAGAGTTAAAGCTTTATATATTGAAGATTATAAATTTATAATGCATATTTATATATTCAATTAACTTAAACCATAATTAAAGATAACCGTAAAGAAAGGAAAAAAGTCAAAGAAAAAAGAAAATTTATTAATATTAGCATCATTTGGTAATCTAAAATTAATTCTAAATTATTTGTTAATTTAATAGCGGAGTTAAGATTTTAAATCCATGAGTATTAGATTCCAGAAAAGAAAATTTACTAAATTATTTATATATACTAAATGAATTTCCAAACATAACTACCAAATTTGAATTAAAGTTGCGGAAACTCTAGAGAAACTTATAGCTCCGCTACTATATATGAGTCATTTGTATGACAGTGGAAGTATATATATATATGAGTTACTTTCATAACGAGAGGTATATTAGACCATTTTCTCTTAAATTAATAATATAAAGAATTTATTACAAATATCTGCATCTTAAATAAAAAATGAAAACGTAAGATTTATTTATTTTTCATATCGAGACAAAACAAACCTTTTATTTTTCCTTTACTACTTTCAAAGCATGTGATGAAATAAAACAAAACTGCAATTATATTATAATCTTAATGGGAGCACAATTTATCCCAACAACAAAACATTATAAATAATCACTTAATTATTATTATTAAAGTCATTTTTCTCCATCTTCTTTTTTCCCTTTTCCTTATTATTAAAGTCACTACATATTGATGCAAAGTGAAATTTTCAGGTCCATCTTTTTGAATCTTTTAACAAAGACAAGTATGATTAGGGTCCACTAATGTCATCTTCTAATCTTAATTTTGTGTACATACAATCTTAATTATTTATGAGGTGGGATCATTCCATGTAATGACACTTTATAGTTTGTCGTTATTTTTGTAATTATTGATGCTGCCTTAACCAACAAGACATTCTTTCATTTAAAATGAAAAATTATGTTTGAGAAAATTCACCCAAAATTTGAGTCATTAATGTACTTAAATTGCTTTTTCCTTGGTAAATGCTAAAATTTAAACCATTTTACTAATCTTCACTTCAGTTTATTACCTTCTTCGTCCCATATTAGTTGTCCATCGTCCTTAAAAAATCATAAATAAAAAGGGATAGTTTACTAGTTTTAATTCTTTAATAAATTCTTAACAAACTTATTTATAGTTTCAAAAAGAAATAATTGTAAGGATAAAATGATTTATTTATTGATTGATTATATAAATTGATATAGTAATTTAAAAAAAATAAAAATTTATGATAACGTGGACAATCAATATAAAATGGAGGAACTACATTACTATATTTTAGATGAAAGGAGGCATCCTCTCGATTGATTTACGCAAGTGTTCTTTTCTTTTTTTAGGTTATTATCTAACTTTTTGAAGTTGTTCAAATATAGCTTTGAACATTATCCTTTTGAATGTTATTAGATTCGAATGTAATATTTTTTTATTGATCAAACTAATTAACAAAATATATAATTATCATCTAACATTTGTAATAAGTTATAAAATTTTAGATCTTTATATAATATTTTAATTTATTCAAAATAATTTTTTAGATCGTGATTTAAAATATTTATAAATTACAAACAATAAACATATGATTATTTATTAAATAGTTATTTTTTAAAAAATGAAAAATATGTGATTAGTACATCTATGGGCTAATCTATTATTTCCATCATGTTTGGGGTTACGTGGATGGCATATATTATACTATGATCATTAATTTCTCCAAGCAAAATATTCTAAAAATATTAATATTAGTTTCAGAAGTGCACGGAACACTTGCAATGATTTTGGATGACAAATCTATCAAATCACGTTAAAAATAACTATTGATAATGATTCATAATAATAAATAAAAGGGATCCCTAAATAAAACTATACAGTAACTCCAAAAATAAGAAAAATAATCTGAATTTGAATTTTGAGTGTTTGTGATTGGTTGGATTATAACAGCTTGTATGAGTTGTTAAACTCTCACACGATTTGAACTTGTTCCTATTTTTGGAAAATTTATCTTAAATTAACTTAGAATTCGTAGTGGCGTATCTAGGAGTTTCTCGGGTTCAAGTAAATTCATACTATTCTTTTAAAATCATATAGTAGATTTATATTTTTTAAAATATCTAAATATAGATGTGTCAGGTGCGAATCTACTCTCAAAAGTATCATATAATGTGATGATGATTGGATACACCTCTCTAAGTGATACTAGAAATTTAAATCTTACTATAATTAGATAACATATATTTAAGTGGCTATTGGTATCCATTTTGACTTTTTAAATTAATTTTTATTTATTTTTTTACTTGTAAGTCAGTTATATTGAAAATTCCTAAATTTTTTTAGCACTGTAATATTATATATATGAAATTAAACAAACATGTATATTAAAACTAAATAATAGTACTAGATTATATAGCATACGGTCAATAAATTCAATCAATCTTAATATCTTTGACACGGATCAGAATATATATATATAGCTTATATATATAAAGAACATAATTTGAATAGATAAAATTTAATTTTAGATCTATAATTTTGAAAATTTAATGAAATCAATGATAAAAATTAAAAATCAAATCGATCAAATTTATATCTTAAATTTAAATTTTCATAATAGTTCTTTCGAAATCTTGGATACGCTTTGAGAAAGCCCCTCTAGCTAAAAGTAGTATTTTGGTGGTTCTTCCCTACATAATTAATAATATGATTTGGACTTATTATAGTAATAATTTGCATTAAGTTATTATTTTTTTATTCACTTAAGCCCACAAATAGAACATTTCTTGTGAGTTTGGCTTTTTAATGAAAGTTCCAACAATAACAACATGACTCCTCTGTTTATAAATAATCTCCTTTGTCCCTTTAAAATTGATAAATTATCAAACATGAATTGAATACTATTTATATTCTCTTCTCTTTTTTTCTCCAAACTCACAAAAAGATAATTGTTGAACATACCTTCAACTCTTTTTTTTTTATTATCAATTTTTTTTAAAAAAATGGATTTAAGAGAAATTGGAGCTACACTTCCCCCTGGGTTTAAATTTTGTCCCAGTGATGAAGAGTTAATTTGTCATTATCTCTACAATAAAATTGCTAATGAAGAAGGATTAGTTCTTAATTTTAGTTTAGTGGAAATTGATCTTCACACTTGTGAGCCATGGCAGCTTCCTGGTATGTTTATTAATTTTATCTTCTTCTTAATTCTCTGAGTTTATTACTTTTAAAATGCAAACTTGTCTTAAGTAGTAATATATTGTGAGCCATGGCAGTCCCAGAATAGGTGTTTGCATTTAGAATTCAAGACGAAATAGTAACTTGTTTCAAGTTATATCTAATTATATTATAGAATTATTATTTTTTTAACCGTGCTCGATTTTCAAGAAACATATAATAAATAGGGCTACCTTAGTAAACTACATTTTGTATTATTATTATTTTTAATGCACTACAGAATTTTTCGATAATTCATAGCTAATTCGTTAAATAACATCTAGCTAGTTGGATTTTTATATAATTCATTGTTAATCCTTAGCTAAATGGGATTAGTATGACATTTTTGTGGTTTAACTGCGAATTTTGTCTCCCTAGTTAATTCCTTGATTCTTTTACAGTGATGAGCATGAAATGAGCTAAAATGACACTTATTTTGAAACAGGAAGATTGGAGTAGTGTTTAAATTTATCTAACTTCCATTTCTTGTTCTTTAACGTAACCCTCGTCTACTTTTTTTTTTTATTTTGTAATAATTGTATCTTATTTTGATGAAAATGTTGTTAATTAAATTTAGAGGTGGCAAAGCTCAACTCTAGTGAATGGTACTTCTTCAGCTTCCGAGATCGAAAGTACACTACTGGTTTCCGGGCGAACCGGGCCACAACTTCGGGTTATTGGAAAGCTACGGGTAAGGATCGAACAGTGCTCGATCCTCAAACCCATAACGTTATAGGGATGAGAAAAACTTTAGTCTTTTACAAGAATAGAGCTCCTAATGGCATTAAAACAGACTGGATCATGCATGAATTTCGACTCGAAAATCCCCATATACCCCTTAAGGTAAGACTTTCTTAGTAAATATCATTTTTATCAGATTACATATTAATTAATGATTATTGACAAACTATTTATAGTTACCTAATAAATAATCTGATTATGTAAATACTTCTTAAATAGTCCGTAAATAAAAGTTAAACTCTTCTATTCAACTTTTTCCTCTCCTGCTATTTAGTTCTTACAACAATACATTTCAATGCACTTTCCTTATAAGGATCTTGTTTTGTTTCTTTTATATATTTTATTGTGATCACGAGAGAAGTTAGGTTGAGATTCGTATAAAGTGCTTGAAGGTTGAAAAATTTAACAAGTTTACATTATCTTTCACAATTTTAATATATTTTGAGACATGTATACAATGTTTAGATCTTAAAAATAAGGTCGTCGGAAAGATTCTACATGAAATGATAAGTAATAGATACATATTAGTTAAAATTTTGAAGATATTTTTTTAACAAGTATAATTGATTTTTAAACATGGATAAAGTATTTGTGGGTTGAATACAAACGAGCTCTCATATTTTTCACATGTTATATTATACTTGAAGTTAAAAAATTTGAAAGTTTTTGTGAGAAATTTCTTAGAAACCTCCTGGTTCGAAACAAGACAAAAAAAAGAGTAAAATTAAGAAAATAATGTTGTTTAACTTTCTTGTTTTTGTGATAATTGAACAGGAAGATTGGGTATTATGTCGAGTATTTTACAAAAATAAAGGTGAGAACAACAATAATTGTACAAACAAACTTAGCTCACAAAACAAGTGTGAGGCAATTGTCACTTCTTCAAATGTGTCACAATCTCCTCTCTATATGAACCAACATTCATTGAATTGTGACATTAGATACCAAAATTTACCCCATCAAATTATCCAAAACTCAAACACAATAATACATCATCATTTGTTTGATTTATTAGTAAAAGATCATCATGAAACGACTCGATTGTCCGAGTGCAGCCAAGAGGATGATCAGTACGGATTGTTATTCAATATGGATTTTGAAGAATCGTATGTTCAAGATGAACGAATTATTCATTCTAGCATTGAAGATATGAGATTTGATGAAGAAAATAGCGCGATTTTTATTTGAATCGTTGATAGCAATGATTAATTAGTAATTATATATGTTGAATTTGTGAAAGTTATTTCTAGCTTTTGTTTATGAATTGAGAATTATTAATTATACAAGTTTGATTGAATTTCCACTTCTTCTTTTTTCCTTCCCTCACTAAATATGTAGTTGATGAGATCCTATGCATTTCTATTGTTCATAATATTTGTATTTTGTTCGAGTTTGATGTAAATTGGTAAGAGCAACATTCCTTTTCCTAAATTCCTACAACATAAGTACAATATTTAAATCATTTCTTCTAAAACTTTCTTATGCATTAAAATACTCGTAATTTGTACTTTTATCCATATTCTGTATTACTCTTTAATTTATGCTCCTCGTAACAAACAATTGTTTTGCTAGACACAAACTGATATTTTCGTATTATAATGTTCTACTAGTTGTACTTAGGCATAACTTTAAGTTACACCAACTAGACATAATTTCGATTGTTAAAGAGAAAAAGTTAAAAACCAACCAATTTAAAAGGCGAAACATATAATCGAATGTTAAAAGTCACTTCAACTCATTGTTCTAAGTTGGGCCTTTCTCTCAAAAGCCCAAAATTTTGTAGATAAACGACCCATTTAGAGAAGGGAAAATTGTATATAATAGCAAACTATTAATTCAAATTAAATGCTATAAATATAGTTTGATTTAATTGTACCCCATAGCAAACTGTTGCTATTTCACCTCTCTCCTGGTGAATCTCGCTCGCCGCTCTCGTTCTCTCCCTCGCCTCTCTCATTTTTTATACAAACGCAAGTGTATAAAGTGCGTTTGTGTTTGTATAAAGTGAGAGAAAATTGTATAAATACATATATTTTCGTTCCCCTCTCCTAGATCTCGCTCTCTCACTCGCCTCTCTCACTTTATACAATTGATCTTTTTGTATATGTATACCAAAGCAGATTATACAACTGCTTTCTTTTGTATATGTATAGCGAAATATACATATTTATGTTTGCTATGGAGCGCAATTATGCAAACTTTGCTATAACATACAAATATGAATTTTGTGTTTGCTATATGTGAAAGTTGCTCTTAATAATACAGTTGAAGCTCCTAACTGTGGG